TGACAACTGACCAGAAAGTTGGTGGGTCAAACCCACCAGCCACTCCATGGAAGCAAGACTGGGCAATATACTTCCATTAAGGTTTACTGCCTCGGAAACCCAAAGGGGTCATTGTGGGTGGGAGTCAACTTGATGGCAGTGAGTTTGGTTTGGTTTGGTTTATATAGCATGAAGTATTTAAAATACTATATTGTCAATACTTTATATCCATTGTTATCTTTGATGTTAAGGCTTTAGACTTTCAAGAAAATTACAATCAAGGTATTCAGTCAGCTGCCCCTCCAACCCAGCATAGTTACCTTGTTTGCAGTTAATAGAGGAAGATGCTTCACATAGATAAGAACTTGATCATGGCTATGGATTCCCATGTGATGTTATTTGGTTGAGAACAAATGGAGGCCTGCAGATGGAGTCTGGTCCTAAACTGGTGTCAGGCCTCTTCTCACAAGCAGCAGAAAAGACCTTTAATTGGAATTCATGTATTATGAGGGGTTTACCAAGTAAACAAACATTCAAGCTGGAGAGGAACACCTGTGAAAAGACACACCATTGTGAATCTTTGGTTTAGGCTTGTTTACCAAGGAATGTTCCCCTCTCATTCTTCTCTCTTTCTTCCTTTAGCTAGCTACTATTTTTCTTAGTTGCTGTCATGTCAATTCCTACTCCTGTTGACCCCGTGTGCAGAGTAGAACTGCTGCAAAGGGTTTTGAAGGCTGTGACCTCTGAGAAGCAGATCACCAGACCTTTCTTCTGAAGTGGCTTTGGGTGGGTTTCAACCAACAACCTTTTAGCTAGTAGTTAACCATTTGTGTCACCCAGGAACTCTTATAGATGTAGAAGTTGCATATATGTGTGCATCTCAAACCAAAAAACCAAACTCACTACCACTGAGTTGATTCCAGCTCAGTGACCACCATTGGATTTCCAAGGCTGTAAATCTTTACAGAAGCAGACTGCCTCATCTTTCTTCCACAGAGTGGCTGGTAGGTTCAAACCACCAACTTTCTGGTTAGCAGTCAAATGCCTTACTGCTACACCACCAGAGCTCCTTTATGTATTGTTGTTGTTAGGTGCCGTTGAGTCATCTCTGACTCATAGTGACCCTATGCACAGCAGAATGAAACACCGCCTGGTCCCATGACAGCTCTGAGATCCCTACTATACTTGAGCCCATCATGGCAGCCACTGTGTCAATCCATCTCATTGAGGGCCTTCCCCTCCTTTGTTGACCTTCCACCTTACCAAGCATGACATCCTTCTCCAGGGAATGGTCACTTCTGACAACATGGCCAAAGCAGGTGACACAAAGTCTGGTCATTCTTGCTTCAAAGGAACATTTTGGCTGCACTTCCTCCAGGACAGATTTGTTAGTTCTTTTAGCAGTCCATGGTACTTTCAGCATTCTTCTCCAGCACCACATCTCAAAAGCATCAATTCTCTGGTCTTCTTTATTCATTGTCCAGCTCTCACATGCATATGAGGTGATTGAAAATATCATGGCTTGTGTGAGGCACACCTTAGTCCTCACAGAGACATCTTTGCTCCTCAGCACTTGAAAGAGGTCCTTTGCAGCCAACTTGCCCAGTGCTGTGTGTCGTCTGATGTCCTGACTGCTGCTTCCATTGGCATTGATTATAGAATTAAGCAATGTGAAGTCTTTGTCAACTTCAATCTTTTCTCCATTTATTGTGATGCTGCTTATAGGTCCAGTTGAGGGAATTTTTGTTTTCTTTATATTGAGGTATAGTCCACACTGCAGACTGTATTCTTCAATCTTCATCAGTAAATGCTTCAAGTCATCCTCACTTTCAGCAAGCAAAGTTGTGTCGTCAGCATATCGCAGGTTGTTAATGATTCTTCCTCCAATCCTAATGCCACATTCTTTTTCATATAGTCCAGTTTCTCTAATTATTGCTCAGCATATAGATTAAGTAAGTATGGTGAAAGGATACAACCCTAAAACACTCCCTTCTTGATTTTAAGCCATGCAATGTCCCTTGCTCTGTTCGAATGACAGCCTTCTGGTCTATGTACAGGGTCCTCATGAGTACAATTAAGTGTTCTGGAATTTCCATTCTCCTCAGTATTTTCCACAATTTGTTATGATCCACACAATAAAATACTTTTGCATAGTCAATAAAACACAAGTAAACATCTTTCTGGTATTCTTTGCTTTGAGCCAAGATCCATCTGACATCAGGAATAATATCCTTGTTCCACATCCTCTTCTGAATCCAGCCTGCACCTCTGGAAGTTCTCTGTTGATATACTGCTGCAACCGTTTTTGAATTATCTTCAGTAAGATTTTACTTGTGTGTGATATTAATGATGTTGTTTGAGCATTTCCATATTCTGTGGGATCACCTCTCTTTGGAATGGGTACAAATATGGATCTCTTCCAATCAGTTGGCCAGGTAGTTGTCTTCCAAATCTCTTGACATAGTCGAGTGCTGCCTCCCATGGGGCATCCATTTGTTGAAACAACTCAATGGGTAATCCATCAATTCCTGGAGCCTTGTTCTTTGCCAATTCCTTCAGTGCAGCTTCGACTTCTTCCTTCAGTACCATTGGTTCTTGATCATATGCCACCTCCTGAAATGGATGAACATTGACCAGTTCTTTTTTGATATAGTGACTCTGTGTATTCCTTCCATCTTCTTCTGATGTTTCCTGCATCATTCAATATATGTATATGTATTTTATGTATATATGTATATGTGAGTGTGTGTGTGTGTGTGTGTATATATGTGTGTGTGTGTGTATTAAATTTTCATATTTAAGATATAATGAGAGGCTAAACCTAAAGTAGTTATTGTATGGCTGTCTATTTGTATCACAGGGATTTGGGAAAGGTGGTTTTTGTTTTTGTTTTTAAAGGCTAATGGGCTCTCCTGTGCCTTATGTTACCTTGTTTGCAGACTGAATTAAAAGTGGATTTGCATTCTTGAACACTAGGTTAACAGCTGTGAAACTTTGAAATGAGGCTTTTAACTTCTCTGAGCTCTAGTTTCTACATCCACAAAGGCGGGGAGGGTCATACCTCACTACCTCATATGACTATTGCGAAGTTTAAATGAGATAATAGATGTAACAATGTTTGTGTTATATGGAATAAATGCTGGTTTCCCTCCTAGAAACCTTCCTGTTAGTATTAATAGAGATATCCAGGAAGGTGGTGGAACAAAGAAAACTTAGTAAAATATGAATAGTGATGCCAATAATCAAACATACAGTTTTATAGTTGAAAAAGCATTTCTATATCCTTTATTTTATTTCTTCACAAGAATCGTATGAATCAGTCAGGCTAGTTATTGTACTCGTTATATGGAAGAGGAACTGTTCTTGGGAAAATTTAAATGGATTAAACAATATCATCCTGCTAGCCTATAATGGAGTGAAGGTTTTTTTGTTTTGTTTTGTTTTGTTTTCTAAGGGCAGGGGAGTAATACTCCAGTGCTATTTACATTACTCCATGTTCTCTGTCAATGCCAGACAGTTCAAGGAGCTCTCATGGTGTAGTGCCTAAGGCATTTGACTGCTAACCAGAAGGCTGGCAGTTCATATCCACCAGCCACTCCTTGGAAAGAACACTGGGCAATCTTCTTCCGTAAGGGTACCACCTTGGAAACCCAAGGAGGGGTCACTAAATAATTGGAAATCTAACTGATCCCAAAATTGTGTCTGACAACCCAGCATTGTTACCAAATTTACCTGATTCCTAGAAAGGCTAGACTATCTAGGAAACTCATAAAGTGGCTGTAGAGCAAATCCACACTACTCTTAGCCTCCAGAGGCCTGCAGTAAACTTAAAGAGTATTTCCCAGGTGCTAGGGATCAAAGGAATTGCATTTCTACTATCAAATGCACCATGTTTTCTGACAATTTGGCTTCTGTTTTAGCATTTCGTGAATGAAATTATTTGGAATGGCCTCCCTTCCAAATACAGTGAAAAATCTGGTTTGCTTTGTATAAGTCAGGGTTCCCATATATCTTTTCTCTGAAGTGCCACAAATGATTGTCTCTGTCTCTTGGTGGATATTTAACACATTGGATGTTACGATGAACACGTTTACCTTCTTTCTCCCCTTTGCAAATGCAAGTCCTGAAATGATGGAGCACATATCATACTTCTGTACTCTCAATGCTTAGCTGAGAGCCTAGAACACAATAGGTTTTTAATAAATGCTTTTGAGATACTATTTCTGTGTTGACTTCTTAGGAAAGGTTCGTTAGAAAACATATGAAAGAGGGTTAATTCTAGAATAAGTAATATCTGCTACCTCCCTCCATATATAATGAATTAACTCTCTAGAATTATTTCTTAGAGGCAATTTCTAGGAAGACCAAAATTCTTAAGAAAGTACTAATAATTTCCATGGCCAATTAAAGGCAAGAAAAAGCAAAGCAGCTCCTCATTTCCCTAACATAAACGTAAGTCCATTATAAATTAGGTCTGAGACTAGAAAAAATTAAAATGCATAGTTCTTTCTTGGTGGGGAGGGGGCTTTGGGGAAAAGTTGAATTTCTCATTTCTCAAGAGTAGGAACAGAGTGTATTTTGTTTGGTCCCTGCAAATTATAGTGATGTGGTTTCAGCTTGCACAAGCACCACAGCAAATAAGTGGGAGGAAAAGTCTCTACAGAAGTGGCCAAACAAGTCTGTGTTCATTTCCTCCCAAGCCCAAATTTGACTGATCCATCCACAGAAAAGCAGAACAAAAGGCAAGGGATTACTGTACCCTAAAGCATCCAAGTGGCTCATTCAGCTCGGGGTATTTATAGCAATCTGGCTCCCACTGAGGACTTCCTGTTCTATTCAACAAATGTGCAAATGGAAGTTCCAGGGCCACAATAGTTGACAAAGATGAAGAGGGTGAATCAGTGATTTGATCCTCAGCCTGTTGTGTTTTTGATCTAGCCATGTATTTCAGCCACCATTGTGAACATTTTCTTGAATAGGCTCATCCTCTTCTTCATGTGCACATTCTATTTGTAGATGTTGCTATGAGGACAGATTCATCAGAAATGAGTGATGTGGAGTCTGTAGTCACCAGTTTTGCATCTTCAGCAAGGGCAGGCCGCCGGAATGCCTTACCGGACATCCAAAGTTCAGCTGCTACGGGCGGAACCTCAGATTTGCCTGCCAAACTGGAGGCTCTCGGCGTGAAGGAAGGTAACACTCAGAATCCTTTTAAAATCATGAGCACACTCTCTCCTTATTCAGTCAATCTTTTCCCCTTGAACAGTTTCACTTTTACCTAGTTAAAAGCACCTTTTTTTTTTTCTTACATGTTTAGTAAAAGCTCTCAGCTTTCTCTTTAGGCTAAGTAGATTTTTCACCCTTCAGAAAGTAGATAGACAATTTCATCTTTCATTTCATAGTGTTTATACAGAAATTGAACATTTATTTGTATACATGAAGCTGTATAGTCATGACAGTGCCAGTGAATAGGAATACAAAGTGAATAAATATGATCTCTGCCCTCAAAGAGCATACAATTTATTGAGAACTACTGAAAGGAGATAATTGTCTTTCTGCCATCTACTGACAAATTACTTTGGAAAGATTCTGTTTTACTCTAGTTTTCCATAAGCTCCTCTACTTCTCAGATCTGTGAAGAAGTTTATTTTCAACTAGGGATGAGATCTTTAAAGTGAATCTTTGTATAAAATGTGATTGTTCTTCAACCAGTAAAAAAGTAGAGTTAAGAAAAGGAGTTATGAAACCAGTAAAGGAAAATCTTGGATTTTCCTTATCATTGTTTACATATAGTTCATATAGCTTCCAGAGTTTGTTGTTGTTGTTGTTAGGAGCCGTCAAGTTGGCTCTGACCCATAGTCAACCCTGTGTACAACAGAACAAAAACTGCCCTGTCCTGCATGACGGTCACAACCCTTGCTATGCTTGAGCCTGTCATTGCAGCCACTGTGTCAATCTGTCTCATTGAGGGTCTTCCCCTCTTCTCTTCCCCTATACCTTACCAAACATGATGTCCTTCTCCAGGGACTGGTCCCTTCTGACAACATGACCAAAGTATGTGAGACGAAATCTGGCCATGCTCACTTCTAAGGAACATTCCAGCTATACTTCTTCCAGGACAGATTTGTTCATTCTTCTGGGAGTCCATAGTATTTTCAGTATTCTCTACCAACACCACAATTCAAAGGCATCAGCTCTTCTTTAGTCGTTCTTATTCATTGTCTAGCTTTAACATGCATCTGAGATGATTGGAAATATAATGGCTTGGGTTAGGCACACCTTAGTCTTCAAAGTGACAATCTTTGCTTCTTAACACATTAAAAAGGTCTTTTGCAGCAGATTTACCAGTGCAATATGATGTCTGATTTCTTGACTGCTGCTGCTTTGGGTGTTGATTATGTATCCAATTAAAATGAAATCTTTGATAATTTCAGTTTTCTCCATTTATCGTGATGTTTCTTATTGGTCCAGTTGTGAGGATTTTTGTTTTCTTTATGTTTAAGTATAATCCATACTGAAGACTGTAGGCTTTAATCTTCATCGGTAACTGCTTTAAGTTATGATCACTTTTAGCAAGCAAAGTTGTGTCATCTGCATATCATAAGTTGTTAATGAGTCTCCCTCTAATCCTGATGCTGCATTCTTCTTCATATACTCCAGCTTCTCAGATTATTTCCTCAGCATACAGATTAAGAATGGTGAAAGAAGACACCCTGACACACACCTTTTCTGATTTTAAACCATACAGTATCCTCTTGTCCTATGTGAATTACAGCCTCTTGGTCTATGTACAGGTTCCTCAGGAGCATAGTTAAATATTCTGTAATTCCCATTATTTGCAATGTTACCCATAATTTGTCATGATCCACACTGTCAAATGCCTGTGAGTATTCAAGAAAACGCAGTTAAACATCTTTCCGGCCTTCTTTGCTATCAGCTAGGATCCACCTGACGTCAGCAATGATATCCCTTGTTCTGCAATGATATCCCTTGTTCCATGTCCTTTGCTGAATCCTGCCTGAATTTCTGGAAGTCCCTTGTCAATATACTGCTGAAATAATTTTTTAATTATCTTCTTAAAATTTTACTTGGACATGATATTAATGATATTGTTCAATAATTTTTACATTCTGTTGGATCACCTTTTGTTGGAATGGGCACAAATATTGATCTCTTCCAGCCAGTATTCCAACTTTCTTGTCACACACAAATAAGCACCCCCACAGCACTTCACCCATTTGTTCAAACATCATAATAGGTATTGCATCAATTCCTAGAGCCTTGTTTTTCAGCAATCAGAGCAGCTTGGACTTCTTCCTTCAATGCCATGCGTTCTTGGTCATACACTACCTCCTGAAATGGTTGACTGTCAACCAATTCTTTTTGGTACTGTGACTCTGTGTATTCCTTCCATCTTCTCTTGATGCTTCCTGCATCATTCAATATTTTTCCCAAAGAATCCGCCAATATTGCAATTCGAAGTGTGGATTTTTTCTTCAGTTCTTTCAGTTTGAGAAATGCTGAGCATGATCTTCCCTTTTTATTTTCTAGCTCCAGGTCTCTGCACATTTCATTATAATATTTTACTTGTCTTCTCAAATTTCCCTTTGAAATCTATTCAGCTCTTTTATTTCATCATTTCTTCCATTTGCTTTAGCTACTCTACATCCAAGAGAAAAGTTCATATTCTCTTTTGACATCCATTTTGGTCCTCCTTTATTTTTAATGACCTTTTGCTTTCTTCATCTATGATGCTATTTATGTCATCCCACAACTTTTCTGGTCTTCTGTCATTGGTGTTCAATGTGTTAAATCTCTTCTTCAGATGGTTTCTAAATTCAGGTGAAATATAGTCAAGGTCATATTTTGGCTTTCATGGCCTTGTTTTAATTTTCTTCTGTTTCAACTTAAACTTGAGTATAAGCAATTGATGGTCAGTTCCACAATCAGCTCCTGGTCATGTTATGATTGATGATATTGAGCTTCTCCATCACTCTTTCACAGATGTAGTCTATCTGATTCCTGTGTATTCCATCTGGTGAGGTCCATGTGCATAGCAGCTGTTTATGTTGTTGAAAAAAGGTATTTGAAATGAATAAGTCATTGGTCTTGCAGAATTCTATTGTGCAATCTCGTATGTCATTTCAAGCACCAAAGCCATATTTTCCAACTATGGATCATTCTTTGTTTCCAACTTTCACATTCTGATCACTAGTAATAATCAATGCATCTTAATTGCATGTTTGGTCAATTTCAGACTGCAGAAGTTGGTAAAAATCTTCAATTTCTCCAACTTTGGCTTTAGTAGTTGGTATGTAAATTTGAATAATCGTGGTATCAAATGATCTTCCTTGCAGGCATATGGATATTATCCTATCACTGACAGCATTGTACTTCTGGATAGAGCTTCACATGTTCTTTTTGATGATGAATGCAATGCCATTCCTCTTCAATTTGCCATTCCCGGCATAGTATACCATATGATCACCTGATTCAAAATGGCCAATACCAGTCCATTTCAGCTCACTTATACCTCAGATATTGATCTTTATGCATTCCATTTCATTTTGACAACTTCAAATTTTCCTAGATCCATACTTTGTACATTCCATGTACTGATTATTAATGAATATCCGCAGCTGCTTATTCCCATTTTAAGTTGTGCCCCATCAGCAAATGAAGGTCCTGAAAGCTTTGATCCATCCATGTCATTAAGGTCCACTCTACTTTGAAGAGGCAGCTCTTTTCCATTCACATTTTGAGTGCCTTCCAACATGAGGTTCTTATCTTTTGGCGCTATATCAGACTGTATTTCACTGCTATTCATAAAATTTTCTAGAGTTTAGTCTTTTGAAAATAAATATATCTACACTTAAAATAAAATATTAGAAGAGTCCCTTCACTTAAAAACACTCATAGAGATTGAAGACATGGTTTAGTTCCAAGCCATTATCAAAATAACTGCCTTATGTCTCACTTTTTGAGGCTGTGCCACCAGTGTCTCAAATGCCAGCAGGGTAGCACATGGTGCACAGGTTTCAACACAGCTCACAGACTGAGACAGACTAGGAAGAAGGAAGAGGCCATCCACTTCTCAAAGAATTGTCTAGGGAAAATGTTATGAATAGCAGCGAAACATTGTCTGATACATTACTGCACAAATTTATGAGTAGCCCTGAAACATTGTCCAACACAATGCAGCAAGACCAGCTCTTTAGGTTAGAAGGCACTCAAAATATGAGTGGGAAAGACCTGCATCACCTGAGTGGAAGCAATCTTAATGATATGGGAAAAGTAAAGCTTTTGGGACCTCCATTTGCTGATGTGACACAACTCAAATTGAAGAGAAATAGCTGCAAAAATTTATTAATAATCAGAACATAGATTGTACGAAGTATGAATCTAGGAAAATTAGAAGTTGTCAAAAATGAAATAGAATGCATAAAGTTTTGATACCCTAAGCATTAGTGAACTGAAATGGACTGGTTTTGGCCATTTTGAATCAGACGATCATATGATCTACTATACCAGGAATGACAGTTTGAAGAAGAATGGTGTGGCATTCATCATCACAAAGGATGTTTCAAGATCTGTCCTGAAGTACAATGCTGTCAGTGATACGATAATACCCATATGCCTACAAGGAAGACCAGTTGATACTATGATTATTCAAATTTACACACCAACCACCAAAACCAAAACTGAAGAAATTGGAGATTTTGATCAACTTCTGCAGTCTGAATTTGACCAAATGTGCAATCAAGATATGTTAATTATCACTGGTGACTTGACTGCAAAAGTTGGAAACAAAGAAGAATTACCAGTAGTTGGAAATTTGGCCTTGGTGACAGAAATAATGCTGAAGATGGCATGACAGAATTTCGCAAGACCAACAACTTATTCAAATACCTTTTTTCAACAACACAAATGGTGGCTATACACAAGGACTTTGCCAGATGGAGTACACAGGAATCAGATTGACTCCATCTGTGGCAAGAGGTAATGGAAAAGCTTAATATATTTAGCCAAAACAAGATCAGGTGCTGATTGTGGAACAGACCATCAACTACTCATATGCAAACTCAACTTGAAGTTGAAGACAATTAAAACAAGTCCACAAAAGCCACAATATGACCTTGAAAATATCCTTCCTGAATTTAAAGGCCATCTAAAGAATAGATTTAATACATTGAACACCAATGACTGAAAACCAGAAGAATTACAAGATGACATCAAGAACATCATCCATGAAGAAAGCAAGAAGTCATTAAAAAGATGAGAA